AAAAACTGAGAACTAAAAATGTAGATTTTTCTGAAGATCAAAATTTACATATAAAAGGAGAAAATTTTAATGATGATCAAGCTCAATGATAGGATAACTAAAGCAGAAAGGTCATGTCATCCCTAACAAGACCAAATCGATGCCTTTTAACCTCAAAATTCATGTGTTTACATTGTACTAAATTATGCGTAGAAAAAGAACTACACTAGAATTCAAGAAGCCCAGCATGTAAATTCTCAATTTTAAGGACATCTCTGCTGTTGTATGACCTTGGTCTCACTTTCTCTCACAGAGTTAAATGAGATCAGCATTGTCCAACGGGAGTGAAATACAAGACATATGTCATTTTTTATTTCCTTAGTAGCCATATTTTTAGAAAGTAAAAATAGGTAAATTCATTTTAATCATCTATTTTACTTAATCCAATATATCAAATAAACATCATTTCAACCTATAATCAACATTTATTGTAAAACTGGTATTTTCCACTCTTTTTTTCTTAAAATAATCTTCAAAATCCCTTTGGTAAGCCCTTTGCATTCCCAACACACCTCAATTCCCACCAGCCACCTTTCAAGATCTCAGTGGCCCCATGTGGCCAGTCGCTACCAGGCTGGACGGCACAGAATAGACGACTTATTCATTTTTCATTTACTGATCATGTCCCACATGTCAGGCACTCCGCTAGGCATGGGAGATAGAAAAATAATCAAGACATCTCCGGTCCTCAAAGGGCTCACCAGCTCTCCTCCAGCTCCCAAACTGTCATCCCGCTGTGCAGAAAGAAATCAAGCCCTCCCGTAGGCTGCTGGAATCCTGAACACCCACTCGTCAACTCCAATACTCAGGATACTGTTGTACAGCTATTTGGGGTTTTTAAATCAATCGCTACCATGAGACGCTGACAGCCTTTGAGGACCTAGACGTTTGTGTTACTCATTTCTGTATAACTCTTAACACTTGGGAGGTAGTACTTTTCTTGCTCTGGTTTTAAACTGAAAGTGCTATTCTATGTTTGAAATCAAGCCATAAGTGGCGTAAGGGAAAAAGCAGTGTCTCCCACAGCATTCATCACCTCGCACCTCTCAGAAGAGGGGTGGGCAAACTTTTTGACTCGAGGGCCACACTGGGTTCTTAAACTGGACCGGAGGGCCGGAACAAAAGCATGGATGGAGTGTTTGTGTGAACTAATATAAATTCAAAGTAAACATCATTACATAAAAGGGTACGGTCTTTTTTATTTTTAGTTTTATTCATTTCAAACGGGCCGGATCCAGCCCGCGCGCCGTAGTTTGCCCCCGGCTGAGCTAGTCCCACCCACCCACTCCAGCCTTCCCTCTGAGAACATGGTACTTTCCTGGTGTCACACACAAGGAAGTATGTAAAGGGACCATAGAGACTGAGGGTATGCACCAGCCTATAGTAATAAAGTCCTACAAGGTGTATAACCATAGGACTGGATAGTCTAGAGACTGTGGTAATGTGCTCTCTACCATAAGAAAGTCCTATAAACAGCAGAAAATTTTCAGAATAATGCGGAGCTAAAAGCTAACAGGATTCAGCTACGTGACAGCAATGAGAAAAAGTTAACTAATTTAAGAACAGGGTTTTGAGAAATTAATAGACAAAGTATGGCCCCAACAGCATTTACTGAATGGATTAATAAAAGAATGTGGTGTCAAGCTCTAGACAAAGCGAAGCTGTATAAAACATGAACATGTCTAATAAAACTTTGAAGTCTGTGGCTGTCACAGAATCCAGATTCGGCCTTCTGCTCAATACCAATGCTATTCATTCCATTATATTTACATACTATTTCTGTGCACAGCCATATGCTCAGCTAAGCTACACAAGATATTTATTGAAAGTATATATGGTCCCCGTCCTGAAAAAAAGTTTATAATCAATTTAGGAAATCAACATATACACACGAAAGCCTGAACAAGCCCTAACTGGTTTGCTCAGTGGATAGAGCATTGGCCTGTGGACTGAAGGGTCCTGGGTCTAATTCCAGTCAAGGGCACAAACATCAGTTGCAGCTCAATCCCTGGCCCTGGTCGGATTGTGTGCAGGAGGCAACCAATTGATGTTTCCCTCTCACATCAACGTTTCTCTCTCTGCTTCCACTCTCTAAAAATCAGGGGGAAAATATCCTCGGGTGAGGATTAACAAACAAACAAAAAGCTGAAAATACAAGGGAAGAAGGAAGACTCAGTAACTAAAAAGAGCATTGGTACTTAGCTATGAAAGTGATGTGTTATTAGTGACTCTTGCAAGTTGAGAATTACAGGAGGCCAAGGCAGGGATAAGGGAAGTCTAGGAGAGCTGGAGACCTTGACCTAGGAGTCAGTCCAAGAGTGGACTTATAGAGGAATGGTGGAAATCAAAAGGAAGGTAGGACACAATTCTCAAGAACAAGTAGTAGATGAACCAACAGAGATCTGTACATTCAGACTGGGGGAGGGTATAAGGCAAAGTTGGAAAAATAAGGTGAAGTCAAATTATGGAAAAACATGAACTCCAAGTGAGAAATGTTTTCTTGATCGTGTGAAGAACAACACAATGGAAGCCGTGTTTTACATAAAAAATTAACTGAGAGTGGTTACCTAGGGCTGGTGGTTAAGGGGGATGGAGAGTAACTGCTAATGGATGTGAGTTGTTTTCCTGGGAGGTAATGAAAATGGTCTAAAATTATATTATGATGATGCTTGTACAACTTTGTAAATATAACAAGAACACAATGAACTGCACATTTTAAACAAGTGAACTTAATAGTATGTAAAGACTCAAAAAGCTGTGGGGGGGAAAAATAATTGGATACCAGCGTGAAAGATAAAGGGGCAAGAGAACTAGAAAGCCCAATTAGGAGGTCACTACATAATCCAAACTTGTGACAGTGAAAAAGCCAAGCTAGAGCTCAGCAGTAGGAATAGATACTAGAGATGCGGAAAAATAAATATGGCCTGAAGATGCTTTGGAAAGTAAATGAGCTAAAAACTCAGATCTGGAATGGTCCCTGCAGGCTCTCTGGTCTGATGAAGGAATCCCTTTAGTTAATAACCCTGCAGGCCTGTTTTTACCTGCATACTTCCAGATGTTAGAAACTCAACACAGTTAATTTCAGTATTACCAAATTTTCTTATGTTAAATAAAATCTCTCTTCCTTGAACTTTGTGTAGATTTCTCCCATGTCTGTTCACCCACTAACCCATTGCCCACCAATTATTTTTCTTAAGGTCAAACTTCCCCAGTCCAACAATCCTTTAGATCAGTGGTTCTCAACCTTCCTAATGCCGCAACCCTTCAATACAGTTCCTCATGTTGAGACCCAACCATAAAATTATTTTCGTTGCTACTTCATAACTGTAATTTTGCTACTGTTATGAATTGTAATGTAAATATCTGATATGCAGGATGTATTTAGGCGACCCCTGTGAAAGGGTCGTTCGACCCCCAAAGAGGTCGTGACACACAGGTTGAGAACCGCTGCTTTAGATAGTTTAATACAACCATCTATAAGAGTGGTGCCCAGCCTTGGCTGGGTGGCTCAGTTGGTTGGAGTATTATCCTGTACACCGAAAGATCATTGGTTTGATTCCTGGTCAGGGCAATGCCCAGGTTGTGGGTTCGATCCCTGGTCGAGGTGTGTGCATGAAGTGGCTGGTCAATGTTTCTTTTTCTTTCTTTCTCTCTTTCTCTCTCTCTCATTGGATATTGGCCATGCATTTTTTCCCCTCTGTAATAGTAGTGGATAATCTTCTATTTTGGGTTATGAGTCCTCTATTTTAAATGAAATACAATCTGGAATAAAAAAAAAGCATGCTGTATCACATTGAACTTAGTACTTGGAAAGAAGAAATGCTTCCATTCATTAGGATCAATAGAGTATTGCTATGAGGACATCTTATTTTTCAGAATTATATATATATTTTAAAAATATGTTTTTATTGATTTCAGAGAGGGAGAGAGAACTAGAAACATTAATGATGAGAGAGGATCATTGATCTGCTGCCTCCTGCATGCTCCCTTCTAGGGATTGAGCCTGAAACCCTGGCATGTGCCCTGTCTGAGAATTAAATAA